GTGTAGAGGCATTAGTAATATAGAAATAATTAGGAAACTGTAATGTGAGTATCTGCTCAACATATGCTATGCTTAGCATGCTATTGAATGCATCTCGTGTAACACACAATCTGTGTACTTTCAGGTGTTTTTATAGCTATTTATTTTTTCCCGTTGCCTCAACTAAGACACATTCTTTATAGAAAATAACTCAGAAAAAGTGCCATGATTAAGGGAATATCAACTATATATTAATATACTGATAGTATGTACAACACATTTTGATGACTTCTGTCTATGCAATGCCAGGTCTTTCATAGCGTTAATAGTGATCATCATATTGTCAGTAAACCATCATTCATCGATCACGAACTCTAGTCATATTTTAAGAGTTCTTAGCACTCATTTTCCACATTTAGAATACACCATATCCAACACTTATAGAGTGAAGATTGCATTACTTGTTATGCAGTGTATAGCAGTATGATTGCCTTTCATTGCTGTGTTAATTTATATTTATTATCTTGACTAAAGGGGTGAATGAATGAGAGATTATGCAGTTTTTGTATGTAACTTTAGACATTTAGGTGTGAATGCTGTAATGTAAATACTTATCACTGAAAAAAAATAAATGCTTATGAAAGATTTAATTTCTTGTTTCTTTAACTATGACCTTACTTGACTTAACTTGGGGTTAAGGATTATCACTTTTCATGGTAAATTCAATACTAATTTATTTTATAAGATTTCCATCTCATGGTTGTGAAAATCTTGCAAGAAAGTACTAATGACATTTGACATTTTGCAATGTTTTACTTTGAAAAAACATTCTAAGGATATGCTGAATTGCTTTTGAGAATATTCTGTATATGAAAAGATATGCAACTGCTATCTAAACTTTCTTGGAAAGCTAACAAAAATGCATAACTTAGTAGTAATAAGCTTCACTATCAGCAATCATATTCTATTAACCATGTCTTCATCAACTGTAGGTATGGTTTGCTTCAGTTTGCAAAAATAACAATCTTTACTACTGCTGAAATAGTTGAATTAATATGTAGCAAGGAATCAGAAATCTACATGTAATGGTAGATTTGCTGTGTAGTTATGGATAAACAGATATTACAATGAACTTTAATTCTTAATCTTATCTCAATAAATGGGATAGTTACTATTCCAATTCATTCTGGTATAAAATAAATGAAATTCTGTAATGAACAAAAAAAGAATGCAAATTATTTTTGAAAATTATCCTGTAGCAACTTCGCATAGAGGATACACGATGTAATTCAAAACTGTGTGATGATACACTGAGGCTTGTTCCTATACAGCATTTGCCTGTTTGACATTTAATTCTGTCAATGCTCAGAGTTTCCAGTTATAAACATAATACTGGGATTATTTAGCACACTTCTCTCCTGTTTCTGTCTTCTATATCACACTTCAAGTGAATGATTACAATACTAACATTGAAAAAATAAACATAACAGATATTCCTTGTTGATCAAGATTAGTCTCAACCTGTCCTGTTTATACATACCTACATTCTGAACAAAATCTTCTTGCTGTATCTCATGGTGACTCATGATCATACCTGCATTAATTACACAATGGAAATGTATGTTAGTATTATTTTTTTCAAGAATGATATGGAATACAGGTAATATCCATTTGGTGACCTGAATCTTCTAATGGGACTTGCTGTCTCTCGCTTTTTTATCTTTCACAATTCTTGAATGGTATGGAAATTAAGAGAATATTTTCAAGCTTTCTGAATCTATTCCACCGGATCTCATTTTCATTTCACTATATTTTGTTATTTTACACAAATTTTAGTCAGTGAAAGATTGTCTTGTCTTTGGAATTGCCATAATGATATTACACTATTCCCAAGAACAAGTATTTTCAGTAATTTCAATATAATGATTATATATTAATATACTCCTCCTGACTATAGTTTTCAAATCATTAACAACAATTGGTTTTATAAATTAGACTATTACAGTTACTGGGCCTAATTTAGAAAATCAAATAGTACTTGATGTTGTTACTACTAAGAATATACTTTTCCCTTGATAATATGGCACTATCTTATTTCACTCATTCTGAATCTTATGTGTAATTTATTTTATACTGTTTGATTTCATACATATTTCTCATGTTTCCCTCCTGTAGAGAAGGATGTATTTGAAAAATATATCTAGAGCTTTTTTTCAGTGGAAGGGATTATGTTATTCATGCTCATTCAACTCTGTATCAGAGTATAGCTCTTCAAATGTACATTTGAATTTATTAATCATTACCTTTTTCTCCATTCTACAGGTGCTTATCCAATCCATGTTGGTAGTGGCTATTACAAGGCTAATAAAGACTCAGAGAGCTAACAAATTTATTTCAATTGTTCTCAGTTTGAGAACTAACAAAACCACTCTGAGTAATTTCCAGACTCTTAGAACAAAGAAGAAAAAAAGAAAAAAAAAGAAAATTGTTTTAATACTCTTAAGAAAACTTGGAAAAGGTATTCAGCCATGCTCAGGATGTCATATGACTTGGATGAGAAATTTTATTGAACTATGACTATTGCTACATTTTATGAGATATGCTCTTGTAATGTCTGTAGCTACTTGTCATGCTATATCACCTTACAATATTAGCTACACTCTTTTTCTTCTAATAGAAGGAAATCTTTTCTTTGTCATATGACACTTAGTATTGATATTCTTAAAATAATTTGTTGCTAAAATACTTTGAATAAATTGCAAGGTTGTAAAGATGTACTAATTCATCTAATACTTTGAACACAGCATCTGGCTATCAGTTTTGAACTACTTCACCACATCTCTATTATCAGATAATACCACTGCACTGCATTGTTCTGAAACTGAGAAGCTTTATTGAAAAAAATATCCTTTTGTTTTTCTGGACATAGCTTTGTAATTCTACTTCAGTCTCCAGACTGGAAGGAATGGATTTTATTAATATTATACATAAATATTGATACCATAACAATGAAAGCAATACAACTGAATTGTCAAAATCTTATCAATTGTAATTGTAACTGCTTTTACCTGTCATTCCTAGATGTATTACTAATACCTATAAATAATGAAGATGATATAACCTTAAACTGTTGGAAAACTTGAATATGCTTAATACATTGCTAACATACAAACCACTTGAGAAACATTTCAGACTAATTTCAACTGTTTATCTAAAAATTGTAACCTCCCTTCTATCAGTAGCTAGATCTGCTAATGTTAATTATGGATGTATATTCATTGTGATAAAAAGATAAGCAGGGGATGATCCTAAACTTGAAAATAATATCTAAAAATTTAGTTTATTAGATTTTTTGTGTGATTATTCTGCGTTATAATGGTTCTTGTTATCATTTCCATTTCCATTACCATTATGTGGCATTTATTATCACCATTCTCACTGCCATTGTTATCAGTAATTATTTCAATACCATTTTAAAAATAATTACAATCATTAGCATTATGATTATCAAAATTATTGTTATCAGTATCATTCTTATAATAATTGCAATCATCAGCATTATGTTATGATTTTGTAATTTTATCTTTTAAAATATATGTCATTCTTGTTACTATTCTACCTATTACACCTTTATTACACCATTTGCAATAATTACATTTATTGATGTTTAAGGGTATTACCAATAGGAGTAAAACTGGATATCTGTTAGCAGCATATATCCTTATAACAATTAGAATTATACATTTTTGCTATTACTATTATTTACAGTGGGAGTAATGAAAATTATAACAGTGATTTTGATCATGGCAGTGATGCTAGTAATTGTAATAATGTAAGAATGATGATAATGATAGTAAATATCATTATATGATAGTGATCAATAAATTAACATAATCAGCAACATTATAATAATTACCATTAATTTCATTCATCATCAGTATCATAATATCACCTACATTTATTACATTAAAATCACCATTACCATTCAACAAGGCGTATAACACATAGAACACTACATTTCCATTAACAACAACCCAAACAAACAATCAGAAAAAAATAAGACCAGAATTCTTATCATATACTGTTAAGGACATAATTTCGAATTACTAAGCAACCTTAACCCGTCTTCATAACATTCTCACATTCTGTATTAACATTCTCCAGAGTCAAAAAGAAACAATACCACAACCACAGCAACTACTACAACAACCACAAAACAACAACCACAACCACAACAAAAACAATTACAACTTCAACAATCACAACCACAACAACCAATAACACAACTACAACAACTTCAACAACCAACCACCACCACAACAACAAAAACAATAACCCAACTACAATAACAACCACAACCACAACAACAACAATAACAACAAGTATTACGCATCGAGACAGAAAGTGCATGGCTCGTATGCTACAGAAAATATAATGTTCTTTTGAATGGTTGTTCATGACTCATTTATTCCGGTTGTTTGGGAACTGAAGCATAAATCCGGATAGATTTCATTTTA